GTGTTTAGCAATGATGAATTAGTCATGTCTTGACTGAACCAAAATTTGGAAATAAATATAACAATATATGCAAAACATGAGAACAATATAATAAGAGAAGAGAAGGTGGACTATAATTTTTTTTTTTGGCAAATTAAAATATCATAATTAGAAAGGAAAATAAATAGGGGGATTTTGATTTTGAATATGAGGAAGACTAACAAGTAACAGGGATAACGAAATGTCGGTTGAGGCATGTTATTATAACTTAGATTCCAAAACTTAATTAATTAGAGCTTACCTTCCATGATTGTGATGCTTACTAATTAGCCGTCTTCTTCTCTTCCTAATTACTTAATTAATCACAGAGTTATTCAATAATGTCCTTGTTTAATTAATTTGGTAATTAATTATGTCAGTGTACCCTATTAAACAAATTCACCGGCCTCGCCATATGACACTTTGTATATTCTATTTGTTTTCTTTTTTAAATAACTGACATCACTGTTTTGTCAGTTGTTATAATATAAATATATACATATATATATATATATATATATATATATTAAAAGGGATCAGATAAACGATGTTTTAACTTCTAATTAAGATGTTGCCATTTGAATAATTATTAAAAAATTTATAAACAAAATGCAAATAATTATTAATTTCACAGGGTCTTTATAAATCTTTTTATTTAGGAAAATATCGATGGAAACAGTTATTTTTTAAAAAAAATAATCAGAATTTAATATATAAATAAATTATAACAAGTCACATTATTCATAACTAATTAATGATATAATTTATTTTTCAAACTCTTTATAGTTTTTGAAATCGTTTCTGATTTTTTTTTTTAAAACCAACCAACCAAGAGACTATATATGTGTCTTTGTATGATCAGAACAAATAAAAAATAATTCATCAATCATAGCTTAAGATTTCTTCTTCTTTTTTTTTTCTGAAGAAACAAGAACACTAGCACACGAACATTAAAAATAAATAAATTAAATTATATTTTGGGAAAATTCTAGAAAAAGCTCTTGGAATATAGGAAATTCTAGATTTGATCCTGAAATTTCGAAAATAACAGAAATGGTCATTGACTCAATCTGTCATTTGTGAAATTAAGACAAATTGACAGTTTTGCCCCTGACTAAGCAAAAGTGAGTAGTTAGTCTCTAAACAAATCTAGGTAACGCTTACACTGTTCTAATTATTACATGATTAGTTGTAATTAATAATAAGGTACTTGACTATGGAAAAGTGAGTAGTTATTCTCTACATGAATCTAGGTAATGCTTACACTGTTTTAGTAATTACAAAATTAGTTGTAGTTAATAACAAGACACCTGATTATGAAAAGTGAATAGTTATTCGCTATACGAATCTAGGTAACGCCTAAACCCTTATAGTGATTCATTAAATCATTGTAGTGAATGAATACAAATGAGGGCAAAGTTGTCAATTCTTCTTAATTTTACAAATGACACATTGGGTCACTGACCTTTTTTGTCATTTCAAAATTCTAGGACCCAATCTGATCAAATTAAAAGTAAAACCAACTCTTATATTAAGGACAGGAGGTAGTATTAACTAAATCAAACTTTGAAAGAATGAAACCTTTTAATAAATTAGGTTGAGTGATGAGAGCTCTTGCCTCTTGACAATGTCATTACAAATTACTCCTCTGATCCTAAATATAAGAAGATCCATTTTGTAATATAATTTACACACTACAAAACATGTCTTATATTTAGAACTGGAGGAGTATAATGCAATTAATCATCAGCTAATTAATAAACGTAATTGATAGATATATTTGTTTATAATTGTATAGGATATCCTTGTTTTTTGTAAATTATTTTATAGTTTAGATGTTGTATGTACTGTGTAGCCGTTACTCCTTGGTCTTTTCTTTTTTCCTAATTTTGCTTTCTGCTACTCGTACAGATGATGTTACATTTTTTTATTAAGTAACAAGGGATACATCAATATTTTCTAGAATGAACAAACGAATTATTCTACAATTCATTCCTTAATGTTATATACGATAATAAAATCAAGTCATAAAATAAAATACAAACAAACGAATTATTCTACAATTCATTCCTTAATGTTATATACGATAATAAAATCAAGTCATAAAATAAAATACACAAATGTATATCGATAAAGCACTCATCAACCAGGTCTATGTGTCTTTTGAAAGTCACAAAGCTAAGATTTTTCTTTTCCAACGTGGAACAAACCGACTATAATAATCAATACTCATATATAATAATTGTTATGAACAAATTAAAGAACCTTACTTTTGATTTTTCTTAGTTTTCTCACGCAATATTATTAATCCATCACATAACTGCTAAATCTTAACCAACAGTGACCTTTTTTTTTTTTCCCCCTTTAACACTTATATGCAGACTGCATTTGTGAGACACCTATTCTTTTAAAAAGTAGTATTAATTATTTATTACAAATTAATTGTTAATTTATTAAACAGTACAAAATTAAGAAAACATGAAAATATATATTCCCACACGTATACATATCTGTTGGAATACAAACAAAATCCACTTTTATCGTGATCCGCAGCGTGGGGAGAAGGTGTATATGTACCTTTTGTTATAACACACAAGTCGCAACAAAACTAAAGAAGATAACAAGAAAGAGGACAAGAGAAACGGGAAAATGATAGGAATTTTTTATAACGGCTGCTACAATAAAACTAATATAAGATAAAGTTTATAATTTAATATTTTTTTAATTAAATTAAGATAGGCATCCATGTCACGCCACAACTTTTTCCATGAACATATGCATATGCCCAAAAATCAATTCTTGAATCACATGCTTAGGTAAGAAATATGAGATCATGAAGGGCTAGCCAGCAAGGAAACTGCCGAGTTCAAATTTTCTAATTATTCAGTTTATAACAGAAAATATATTAAGGAAGTTTAGTATAAAGTTGTTGTTTGGTCAAAATTCAAATTTTATCAAATCTAATTGTTTAAGATGTGCAATTACACCTCTTTAGCCATCGATCAAAATGTCTAGAGATGAATTAAATTTATGAAAGCTTAATTATTTGAAAAGAGCAAAGTTGAAATATCCCTTACAGTCACAAATTATATATATACTCCTCCCATACAGTATTTTGAACGTACTCATAAATTATATATATATATATATATATACACACACACACAAAACTCCTCTGGTCCTTAATATATATATAGTATTTATATAAATTGCATTACAAAGTAAATTTTATATTAAAAACCAGAAAGGTGTGTATATATACACACATAAACAAAATAACGACCACATGAATACTCATTTTTAATACATTTATTTAATGTGCAACATTATTAGGTTAAAGTTGAGTATAGCCATGCGGTAACCCTTCCAATCTGACACGTAGCAACACTCAACACTCTTAGTTAAAATAAATATTACTCGGGAACTAAATATAAAACTCAATTTGTAATTTGTAATGTAGTTTATATTACAAAGTAGGTTTATATTTATAACCGGAGAAGTATTTAGTCTCCTTATAACTTCCCGATAAACCTGATATCTCCCCCAATATTTCTGGCAACTATTATCGGGCGATCATAGCATCATAGCTTCCTTATGCATATAATTTCCATGTAATTTATTTTACCTTTATTTTTTAACAAGCCAAATAAACACATTTCATATGGATAATTCCCTAATTTTTCTCTTCACAGTTATTATAAGATCCCATCTATTTTCTAAATTTCAAATAAAAATCCTAAAAAAGTCATAATGAAACAAAATATATGATTTATTTCTATTTATTTTTTATTTTACATTACATATTTAAAAGGAAGATTTGAAATTAGTTTAATGAGTGTGGGCAGTTACACATTATCGAATATTGGTATATCAACACTAGAAAACGGAGGAGTAACGCACTAACACTCTCCAGGAGCAAAGCTTGATTTTTGTGGTGATGAAGAATGCACTAACATTTTCCTCCTTAAATAAAAGTACATCACTTTGTAATTATATATTACCTTTTTCCTAATTATAAGATCTCGTTTGTAAACTATAAACGAGATCTTATAATTAGAACTGGAGGTAGTATATACATATTCTAACTAATCCATGGCATTAACTAAGAAAGAAATAGATTAAATACCCAAAATGAAATATGACAAGCACACACAAAAATTTTCAAACTCACGCTTTTAAAATTTTGTAAATTTTTTTTATCAAACATAAAAATACATGACGGTAATATAATATCACTAAAATATGGGATAAATACACTAATATTTTATAAGGCTTTTAATTTATATTATGAAAAATTATTTTCACACTCCGTGCACATAAAATTTATATATTACCTGCAATATTAAATATAAAATCTAGTTTAATTTATAATACAATTTGCATTACAAACAAAATTTTATACTCTTCTGATTCTAAGTATAAAATCTCTTTTATAATATAATTTATATTATAAAAAAAATTTTATATTTAGAACGGCAAACATCTATATAAGACCGAAGTATTACATGAGGAGGGAAATGGCCGGTACGGCTGCAAGACATCACTATCCAAGTCCAACAATTTTACCAGAAACGGGCCGTGTGGTTGGGCTACGCGTATTACTGTTACCCTCTAATACCTAAATTAATAAACGTGCTCTTGCTGACATGGCTTTCTCCCCTAACCCCACATGCCTCCCTCTTTTCTGCCTTCCTCTTCGTGCTGTGGCCCCCACTCTGTCCCCTCCTTCCCCTACACTCCCCTTTCTCCCCTTTTCTTTCATTTCCACCCCCCAAATAAATGCAAATTTATTATAACCTCCCCAGACTTGCCCCACCCCATTCCTCAAGGTTTTGGCCCCCACTCCTGGGTCCCACCCCACTGACGTGGCACTCCCCCCTTCCTCTCCTCTGTATAAATTCTAACCCCACTCCTCCGTCCTCGCTACCCCCGGCCTCTTTTCTCCTCCCCTGCCTTTCATCTTCATCGTCTCTCTCTCTCTCTCTCTAATCCTTTCCTTCTTCTCTGTTTCTCTCTCTGAATCTTCACTTCATCCATTTCCAATACTTACTTGTAAAAACAACATGGCTGTGGATTCTGCACTCTCATCCCCGCTGGGTCCACCTGCTTGCGAGAAGGATGCTAAGGCGCTGCAATTCATCGAGGAAACCACTCGAAACGCCGATGCCGTCCAGGAGAAGGTGTTGGCCGAGATATTGACTCGGAACGCCAACACTGAGTACCTGAAACGCTTCAAACTCGGCGGCGCCACCGATCGCACCGCCTTCAAGTCCAAGCTGCCCGTCATCACCTACGAGGACGTCCAGCCTGAAATCCAGCGAATTGCCAATGGCGATCGCTCTGCTATCCTATCTGCTCACCCAATCTCCGAGTTCTTAACAAGGTTCGTCCCATTCGAATCGTGAATTCGCTAATTTCATAATTTGAAAAACCGTGATTCTGATTTTTTTTTAATTATAATTATTGGGAAATTTCAGCTCTGGAACTTCGGCTGGTGAAAGAAAACTCATGCCTACAATTAAGGAAGAGCAGGATCGTCGGCAGCTTCTATACAGCCTTCTCATGCCAGTTATGAACCTGTGAGTTGCTTCTCGAAGAACTCAGAGTTGAATATCCTAAAAGAAAATTATATATTCAACAGCACATGTGCTTCTATCTTTTCGCACTAAAATTGGCATTAACTAACCCAAACGCGTTTTTTCTCAATGGAACAGTTATGTACCGGGTTTGGACAAAGGCAAGGGATTATACTTCTTGTTCGTCAAGTCCGAAACAAGGACTCCCGGTGGGCTCGTCGCCCGACCCGTTCTCACCAGCTACTACAAGAGTGACCATTTCAAGACCCGACCCTTCGACCCCTACAATGTCTACACCAGCCCCAATGAAGCCATCCTTTGCCCCGATTCGTTCCAGAGCATGTACACCCAGATGCTCTGTGGCCTCATAGAGCGCAACCAAGTCCTCCGTCTTGGAGCCGTCTTCGCCTCCGGTCTCCTCCGTGCAATTCGGTTCCTGCAACTTCATTGGTCTCAACTCTCCCACGACATCCGAACGGGAACTTTGAACCCAAAAATCACCGATCCGGCCATAAGAGAGTACATGGCCACGGTGCTCAAACCCGACCAGGAATTGGCCTGCTTTGTTTCCCAGGAATGTTGCAAGGAAAATTGGGAGGGGATCATCACAAGGATTTGGCCAAACACGAAATACCTAGACGTGATCGTAACTGGCGCGATGGCTCAGTATATCCCCACTCTCAATTACTACGGCGGCGGCTTACCACTTGCTTGCACCATGTACGCTTCGTCGGAGTGTTATTTCGGACTCAATCTCAACCCGATGTGCAAGCCATCTGAGGTCTCTTACACCATAATGCCAAACATGGCCTACTTCGAATTCATGGAGCACGGAACCGGAGAATCTCCTGCGAAACTCCTTGACCTTGTGGACGTCGAAGTTGGCAAAGAATACGAACTCGTAATCACAACCTATGCCGGACTATACAGGTACCGGGTGGGGGACATTCTCCGGGTCACCGGGTTCCACAACTCCGCCCCGCAATTCCACTTCGTAAGGAGGAAAAACGTGCTGCTCAGCATTGACTCCGACAAGACCGATGAGGCGGAGTTACAGAACGCCGTCGAGAACGCATCCAGGCTGCTGGCGGAGTTCAACACCAGCGTGGTTGAATACACAAGCTACGCCGACACGAAGACGATACCGGGTCACTACGTGATATACTGGGAGCTCCTGATGAAGGACCCGTCGAACCCGCCGAGCGAGGAGGTTCTGAACCGGTGCTGTTTGGAAATGGAGGAATCACTGAACTCGGTTTACAGACAGGGTCGGGTGGCGGATAATTCAATCGGGCCTTTGGAAATTCGGGTAGTACGAAACGGTACGTTTGAGGAACTGATGGATTACGCGATCTCAAGAGGAGCGTCTATCAACCAGTATAAGGTGCCACGGTGTGTGAACTTCACTCCAATCATGGAGCTCTTAGATTCGAGGGTGGTGTCGGCGCATTTTAGCCCCTCCCTGCCACGTTGGACTCCAGAAAGGAGAAGGTGATTTTTGGGAAGTGCATGAGGAACAACACTGACCCAGTTTTATTCGATTTTAATTTTTTTTTATCATAAAAGTCAAGGGTAGATTTTTTTCCCCCATTTTAAAATAGGGCCTGTGGAAAGGTACAAGATGATGGGGTTATGTAAGTTGGGTTCAATTAACTTGTGACTTTTTCTAATTATGTGTAGTAGAGAGTGGAATTGTTCAGTGTATGAAATGTTCCCTCCCTGTAATGATTATGAAGGAATGTAATGGAACTCAATAGTAGTTTCCCGTGGCAAACAAGTTCAGTGAATCCAATGCATTATTATTATTATTAATTACTACAACGCTTACAACAAACCATCAATACTACTCTGATTCCTTTTATAAAGTATGCTCACATATTTACTTCATCATTTCTCTTTGTATTTATTAATTAAGTTAACATGAGTAAATTGAGCAAAAAACACATTAATTGCCATGCAAGTAATTTATATTTAGGAACAAAATTTTTTTCTATGGGTGGTTATAATTGGAACAAAGTGTTACTAACAATAAAGTACTTTTCTCATTCTATTATACTACCTCTGGTCCTTAATATAGACCCCGTTTGACTTTTGTTTGGTCCTAATTATAAGACCCCAATCCATTTTGTCTCTTATATTTATGCATTTTTTTCCAAGATAGTCCTTCTAATAATAATAGTTCTTGCCAATACACTTAATTAGCAAGGATATTTTAGGTATGACAACACTTATTTATTACAAATAACTAACATAACGTACTTCCTTAATCTCCTCAAATAAGTCAACTGGGTCTTATAATTAGGACCGGAGGTAGTAAGTCGTTTCCAACATGTTTCATAGAACAAAAAAAACTTTAAACTTCATTAACTCTAATATAAAATTTAACAACTTTTCAATTTTAGCCATATTTGATATACACTATATCTCATGTACTTGTAAATAAAGTCATTAGAATAATAAATGGAGGGTAAAAAACTGTATAGTCATACAAAAAATTTCTCTCAGTACGTTATAAATAGGATCAAAAAATATCTTTTCTCTCTGCATTATAAATAGGACCAGAGGAGTATGTTGCTAATTTTATCATTAATTAGTTTTTTCTTTTACCCCTCATTAAATATTGGTGCATGTTATTTAATTCTTAAAGTTTGCACGCTTAATTAATTAGGGGCGAAGTTGGGAACTTACTAAATTTTCAGATAGAGTTAATGGCTTTTGATTTTTTTATGATTTTCATGAAATACGCTGAAAATAATTTACATATAGGATTGGAGTGGTAAGTGGTAACTATGATTTGCCAATTTTTGTTTCTGAAGCTGCTATTCAGCAGAAAGTTTTACACACGCACACGCACTTTGCCAACCTTGCTAATTATATTCAATAGGTTGGAGTAATTCAGAAGTCGCTCCTTTTCAAGAGATATAGAGTTGCTTATATTCCAATAAATTGCTATATATATCCAACTTCCATTCCTCAACCCAAGCTTTATTACCTTGATCGATGTATTGTTTGATTGATATGGGAATAGAAATGGAAACCCCTTCCTGTTTTTTTATTTGAAATGAAATAATTATCTATTCGCATTAAAAAAAAGAAGAAGAAGACTGAGCTGGCATTCTAAAATATCCCTGCTCATGTGCTATACCTTCTACTTATTAACAGCTTCACATGGATTTGGGAAACTCAGTTATAATTAATTAATAATTCAATAATTAAAAATGATGTTGTTTAGCTAGTTAAACGTTAGAGGTAGTTGTTTAGTTAGTTCGGAAAAAAAATTAAATAAATTGTCTTTATAAAAGATAATGAGAGATGATCTTATAATAAGGATTGAAGGGAGTATCAAGTATCAACTATCATGTTTGACCGCTCTACCAAAAAAAAAAAAAAACTATCATGTTTGACCTTTTCAATTTTTTTAAATTAAAAGCTAATATATACTAAAAATATCAAAATAGTTAAATATATTTCCTATATTCTCTTATAATGGTCAGTTATTATTATTAATAAACGCGTAGCTCAATTAATGAAATGGTGTTAGTTGAATTAGCAATAGCAACCTAGCCACTCTTATGATTTTATTCCACTTAATCCAAATTAGTCTAACCCAATATAATGTGGCTTTCAGGTAATGAGTTATTTGACGATAAGAAACTTGTCGTTTATTTTTTATTTTTATGTTTATATTGCTTTTATTTATCATCTCAGTAAATAAATAAAATATAAAATTGGGCTGATCTTATCTCTTGTTATTTCATTGACTCAATTAGCTCAGACTTGATTCTAACCCCCCCCTACTTAAATTAATTTTGATGCCCCCCAATTTGGGTTGAAAATTTTGAATTCAATAATTAAGCCGGTAATCATGGTCCCAAAAAAAAAAAGCCGGTAAGATGATAAATAATTAATGCGCGCGTCAACTTTATGTTATGGGAATATTGCTACAAGTGGAAGAAATCAAAGCACTTAAGATGGACACTATAATTTACGTAGTTGAAACAAAGTACTCCATATGTCGTATTACCACAAAAGCAAAAAAAGTACTCTATATGTCATCACCTATGACGAAGTAATATATTTATGAAATAAGAAACACTACAATTTACATAGTTGAAACAAAGTAGTGTGGTCTAATATATATACTAACTCTAGTTTTAAATATAAGATATAGTTGGCTAATTTGAGTAGATTAAAAAAATAAATTAAGTTAGTTATTTATAATATTCATCCGGTCCTTAATATAAGACCCATTTAACTAATTTGATTAGATTAAAAAAGTTAGGTAAGTTAGTTAATTATAATAAATGTGACATTGTTTTCCTAAAATATCATAATCATCTTTGTTAATACCCCTTCTTCCTCTTCTACTTGATTATGGTTAAGGGAGTATCCATAGGGGCAATTTAGAGAAAATTGATAAATATAAGAAATTGGTCTTATATTTAGGACCAAAACCAACTTAATAATTGGGTCCTATATTAAGGATCGGAGGAGTAAATAAGTATTGTCCTTCTTAAAATATCTTTATTAATCAAATTTATTAGTTAAAACTACTATTATTACAAGGACTACTTCAAAAAAATAAATAAATATAATAGACAAAGTAGATTGGAGTTTTATATTTAAAACCAAAATAAAAATTAAACGAGGTTTTATATTAAGAACTAAAGGTAGTATAAAATAGGAAACTTTCTCGGTTCCTTAATTAGCCATCTCTCCTTTTCCCCCCCTTCTATATTCTAACCACACAATTTCATTAATTATTCAAAATATTATTTTTACATTTTTAATACCGAAATGATAAGATATCATTACTATTAAATATTACAGGATAATAGAGACATTTTTTTTTTCTTTTTACACTAAAAAAACCTTTTTCATTATATACCAACTAAATGCCCTCTTAGACACATGAATCTTAAAATTAAAGTAAATGCTTTATGCCAACCAAGTTGATGGATATATAATCACTTGTCTTTATAAATCAATCACAAACTATTTTTGTTTAAAATGAGGTTGCATGCTTAGATATCAACCCATCCGATTCTTCTTAACTATCATTTTTTAAAGAATTTTTTTTGCTTTTATATATACCTGTCATTTCAAAATTTCAGAACATAATTAATTATTATTTCTTAATCATATTATTGTCTTCATTAACTTTAGAAGTCTAAATAATATTAATTACTAAAATAAATCAAGGGCAAATTAGAAAGTTTGAAAAGAAGTATAACATATTAATAGCAACTTTTAATAAATATGATGAACCAAGATTCAAATCTTCACTAAAAGATATGCCTACATTTAGCGCCTGATAATATCTAAAATAAAATTGCCTCTAATTAAAACCTAGATGATATGTACAAAAAGAAACGATGAAATTGTTAGATTACATATTCTTAATTAATTACAATATTTTATATTGAAATTCATTTTCATGCCCCCCATTAAGTGGAAAGCTTGGAACTTAATCAACCCAATTTGAGGACAATATGAATGTCTAACAACTCTGTTGCGTGTGGCAATCTAGTAACAAAAAGAAAAAAGCATTAAGCACACATAATTGGGTTCATTAATTAATATAATATAAATATGTAAACACCGTTCTTTTGATCTTAAATATGAAAGCTAATTAGAAGGTTTACTTTAATGTTTGAACATAAATATAAGAATTTAATTTATCTTGTACATTAAATTTATGATTCATTTTATTACTTTTCTTAATTTCTAAAAATTAATTATCTGTCTCCTATATTAAGAAGTGGAGTTTTCGCTTAAAAAAATAAAGCGGAGTTTTCGATGCTTTATCTTCGTACCTTTCTCCTCTCACATACCTCATTTTTAATATCATGATAAGGCTTATATGCTCTCCCTTTCTCACAATGTTGATGCACTTTAAAAAGTGATGTTACAACGTGGACCCCTTACTCTTCCAAATAGTTGAACAGCACTTTCTCATTATTTTTCAATTGAATTATTTCAACTAACTCTTTTAGATTGGTATTAAATATATAAAACAATATATACAATTGAAAAAAGAGCTTAAAAGGCATCCAACTTTTCGAAAAAAAGGATTTTTGATAAAAATAAAGATCATACTATAATTATGGAATTTATGTTAAGTTTAAATGTCATATTTTCTATCTATTTTATTTCCTTTAATTTATATAATTTAATATTTCAAGTTTGTCTAAAAATTAACAATTCAAGGCACGTGGTCGTTAGATTTTTCTTTTCTTAACTGAAGTGCGTTTCCAAATAGATCCTCTTTTAGTGACTTTTGCCAGCTCTTTGTCAATAAAACAATCAGCCTTTGAATTCGTGCTAATTATAATTACAATTTTTAATGTTAAATTCATTTTCATGCCCCCCATTTAGGTCTAAACTTTGAATCCAATCAACAAAATTCGACGACAAAATGAATACCTACATGTGCTAGGTTAATGTTAGTAATTAAAATAGTAAGAAAATAAAGCATTAATTATTCAAGACACCATCATTTACATAGTTGAAACTAAAAATCCATAATTAATTAATAAATATGCATATATGATGAGGAAGGTACTACTTAGTTTCCTTATATTAACTTCATCGTTAATACTATTTCAGGGGTTCTCAAATAACACTGACCCAGGTAGAAAAAGTGACTTGGATAGTGGACCCCTTTTGCAAAAACATGTTTCGCACTAGATATTCTGCTTTTTACCCGTAGCTGAATAATAATGACAGTTCAAACACTTATTTATTTGTTTTTAGCGATTTAAT